GTAAACACATGCAGCCATTTTCGAAATTCTAACTAAAAGTAGAAACTCATTTTTTAATCGACGTCTTCCGTGGCGTTGCCGTCCTGACTGCTTAAAGTCTCTGTTAAGCAGTCAGGACAGCAACGCCAAGGAAGACTTCGATTAAAAAATGAATTTCTACTTTAGCGAGAATTTCGAAAATGGCCGCATGTGTTTACCATCTCTGACAGCGCCACACCTTAACTTCAGCATAACTTATATTAGCTGCGTTGAGTTCCAAATGGAAATTACATTAATTTGGCGTCGCGGTTTCCGCTCTCAGACGAGGCAAACTTTGGTGATTTCAAGTTGTTGTTTTGCAAAGGACGGCCAAGAAACGTACAAAGTTTTAAAACGCACGTACTGGCTATTGTTCTGCCCATTAGATCTTTTGTTTCGCCACGTCCTCGTTGCCGTCGTGGTTTGTTTAAGGTCGCTGTTGCCGGGGGTCTGGTAATAAAAATTATCTGTAACGGACCCCTCGCACACCTTTCGCTGACTCGCGTTGTTGAAGGCCTCATAAGAGAGATTTAGCACCGCGTTTACTTGAAACGTGAACGGCAAGAGTGACCACATGACCTTGTTTTTCCCGCCATTTTTTCACGTTTGCCGGTCGCACTTCGCGGTTCCTTTGTGAAGGTAAACCTGTTTTGTGTTTGCCGTGTACGTAAGGGTTTTCTTCATTTTTTCTCTCACAGAGGAGAAGTTAATTTCCGGAAAAAGGGGATCATGCAAGTCATACAAGGGCGCCTTCAAATCCACCATGACGTAAGCCCACGCGAAGCTACAGCAGCAAGGTTCCCGCTACTTTACGCGAATAGTGAAAGGGCGAGCTGATGTTTGCCGTTTCACGTAAACGGTGTGCTAAAAAAACCTCTCTTATAGTTTCCCGTGGGCGAAGAAAAGCCCGTGCTGAAGGGCTAATAATGAGGGACTGACCACTGGCTAGTCTAAATCAAACGTAGACGGTTGGATCAAGTGTTTTCTACAGTGTTGCACAAACACACACATACCTGTCTCCTTAGGTAATTAACGACTTTAACTTGGTGATAAAAGTCCAACCCTAAATTGAAAGAATAATAATTTAGACCTTTTGGCCTGTTGGTCAGACATGTTTATGGACAAGATCAAGCACATGGGGATTTGCTATTATAACTGACTGACAGCTTTCAAGATTGACTGAGTTATTATTTTACTTCATTCACCCACTTCTTCCCAATTCCATTTCTAGTGTAGGTTTCTGTAACATTTTTATTAGTGGCAGTATACGGTCATATATAGCCTTTGCACCCAGGGGCATGAAGACAATTGAAGTTGAACGCTAGGCTGTCTAGAGCCGTCTGTAATGGGTAACTCGATTAGTCAGATATTTCGATCTTATCAGTGTAGAGGTCAAACCTTTCACATGAAAAATCACAATTGACAGCTTCTCGATGGAGTGTCGTTAAACCAAAACCAAAATAATTACAACAACCAATCGAACATGAGAAAATATAACATGGAGCCGATAAGAACTCACGGTAAAATCAATCATGATGAAATTGCCTCATGCGCGGGAGAGTGGTGTAAGTTTTCAAGACCAATCACGGCGAAGTAAAGTAAGTATTCAACTGAGGATTTCTTCTGTAATTTTCCTTTAGAAATGTTATCCATCTCCCAATTTATAATTGAAGAGAAGTCGCTGTTGTACACCTTCAATATGATAGGGATGTACATTTTAATCATCTGTGAACTGGAAATTGTAGGAAAATCGTTGGAAGTAAAAAGGTTTATTGCGCTGTTTTAATAACGACGTTAACATTGAACTAGCGACACTAACAGAAACTAGTTTTTCATCCAACTGCCGTCATGCATCCAACTTACCAAAGGAGCTCTTGATAGCGGGAAAATCGAATGAATGCTCTTCCTACGGGGAAAAGAACGCTGTTTCAACGAATCGATAAGGACAAAAAATGACCGGTGACGCTGTTTGTATGTAGAATCAGCTAAGTGTTAAAAGTGTTACAGAATAGTAAGTATTAACCGGTTTGTGACACAAACATTGATTTCAACTTATTTTCTGATAATCATAAATTCATAGGTCTCAATCAACTCAAGCAACTATTATTGAACAATTTTTTGTGTTTCACAATCTCCCTAGAGGTTTAGGTACTGTTCTTAGGCAAACATGTTACTGTCACAATATCTTCTCCATCTAGGCATGAGTATAAATGGGCCAACAGGGACAAACTGTTTTTCCAGAAGCTAGAACTCCCAACAATGATATGGTCAGAAAAGGTTTGATAGGGGATATTAATAGAATGAAACCTTCTGCAAACTGGTTTTGAGAGTTGAACCGTGATAAAGGTCATGGGTTCGCTCTACAAATGCATGGAAATGAGGCACAGCCATTTCATCACTGATAACTGCATAAAGTTCCAACTTATCATGACGGAAATGTTCAAATAAAGTTACGTCCTTACGATGTGAATCCCAATCAGGCTTGGGATGTGCTAATTGTGGCCACGTGACTACACACTTGCATGGAAATGAGGCACTGCCATTTCATCACTGATAACTGCATAAAGTTACAACTTATCATGACGGAAATGTTCAAATAAAGTTACGTCCTTACGATGTGAATCCCAATCAGGCTTGGGATGTGCTAATTGTGGCCACGTGACTACACACTTGCATGGAAATGAGGCACTGCCATTTCATCACTGATAACTGCATAAAGTTACAGCTTATCATGACGGAAATGTTCAAATAAAGTTACGTCCTTACGATGTGAATCCCAATCAGGCTTGGGATGTGCTAATTGTGGCCACGTGACTACGCACTTGGCTGCCTGGAAATCTGACGAAGTGCTAAGGGTATCCTTGTAATGAACTAACATGTCATCAGGCTACTGAAAGCAGAATGAGGCAAGATGGGCTTTCTGGTGCTTAGAATGCTTTGACCTCTATCTGCACTTACATGTACCTTCATGTGTTGTAGAATGTCATTAGTGGCAGGGCAAGAAGCTTCACAGAACAGGCAAACACATGGTGGTAAATCACCCTTCCAGTCACTCCAGTCACTGAGGAGATATAGTTTTTAACGTCAGTTTATCAGTGAAGGAACAGAAAAACCTCACCTTGTACTTATTTGATTTAACTTTCTGAAAATCATGGCATGCAGCCTAAAGGGTAGACTTCAGGCTTGTAAACCCTACTATCTGTTTGTTTGTTGGTTTGTGATTTAGAGAAAAAGTTCAACTGATCTCTTTGATTCTTCAGTTTTCAGTTTTTCAGCAGCACTGGAATTCAGCTATCAAGAAGTTTGTTATCACTAAGTGAGGTGATTGACTGTATAATGCACACCTAAAATACTGTGAAATCAGTGCTTTTTAATTTGCATTTGCTAAGGATACCCTTTAAGATAAAAAAATTGTAACAATGAAACTTACTCTTCATCTACACTCTTATCATTGTTAGAATTTCCATCTTCTTCCTCTTCAATTTCATTTTGAATGTCTTCCCAAGTTTTTCCTAATTCCTTTTCATAAAGAATTAATAAAACGGCAGTAAATGATTGACCTGTTATTCCTCTCCTGAAGAGGTCACAAAATTTGACATAAGTCCTAAAAAATTACAACTGATCTGACTACTGAGTTGTGAATGTCTTCTTAAAATCAATTAAAAACAATAACCAGAGAAAATTAAAGTCTTTAAACCTACCAGATAATTTATGATATAAAATTTATCATATTCTTTATTCTTGGGGTTGATTTTCTTGTGTTGCTTCTTTCTCATGTGATCTTTGAGTGCTGTTCTGTCTTTGAATAACTTCTCACAAAATAAACACTGCAAACTTCAAAAAAATTATTAGGGGCAAGTTAAATTATGCTTTAAGAGTCTGTAAAGCCACATTTAGACTCACTTCTGCCAAAAGGAGTTGAAGAGATTCATGCTGGAATATTCAAATCAAGATTAACATCTGCAAAACCATCTGATTTGTCTTCACAAGTAGCACATTCTACCTGACTTATTTCTATGTTAAGGTTTAATTTTCACCATATACTTTTGAGGAAATTTGAGCCCCTGATTCATCTGAAGTTCAGGTTCCTTTAAAATTTTAATTGCAGAGAACATAAACAATCATACTTTGTCCTCCAATTCACTTGTTTTGAACTTGTGGTGTAATGGGTAGTGAATGCATGCAGGCCCAGATTCAACCTTCATAAAATTGAATTTAAAAATAGTACATTGCCTACATTTCTGTGTGAGTGATACAAGATATCTTTCAACCTCATGAAACTGATAGTGGTGGAAGTGGTCATCTTCATGATCACCATTATCGTAATCATCATCATCATCATCATCAACATCATTAGGTGATAAGAAAATATCAAAACACACAAGAATTATTTCCATGATACAATACTTCCATAAGCTTACTTGGCTAATTTCTGTTCCAGAACATCTAGAAATTCATTTACATTCACTAGAAAAAGAGAAAAATACAAATTTGTGTGGGTAGGGAAGAATTATGGGTAACTGTCAGAGCTTAAGAGTTAAAAGGGTCAAACTCCAATCTCATTCTTTAGGGGCCCTGGAATTGATTCCCATATTCATCTACAGCAAAGGACATTTATGGTTGAAGAAATAAATGTTGGTTCTCAAATGAAGCTGTTAAAATACTGTGTGGTATATCTTACCTAAGTTATCAGGAAGGCCTACATTAAATCCATGATCTGATGCCATATGTGTAAATAGCAATGACCTAGCCATAGAATGCAATGCATATATGGTTAGTCTCTTGTAAGTCATCCACAACACAATTTTGACCCATTGTAATCCTGTTATACATTTTGAAAATCTACTTATCCAGCTTTTTAGAATATGGTAGATTTTACACTATTTTAGCTCTTCATTAAATACAAACAAATTACTACATTTTATTACACGACTTGGACAGTCAGAGGACCAATAACTAAAATCAACCAATCAAAATGCTCTATTGCCGGTCAATATTCTCTAAGTATTGGACCGGGCACTGTCCCGAATGGTCCCGAATGATACCGCACTCATTCGTGTCCCTTTGAACTTCAGTCGTATAATAAATCTCTTATTCACCAAGCTTGCTCGGGACCGTACTGGAAGAATATCGGCCCTCGGTCTTTTTTGTACGGACCGAGCTGTGCTCGGTCCGTACTGTCAAGACCTCAGGCCAATATTCTCCCAGTACAGCCCTTGCGCATGGTTAATAAGATATATATATACTAGTCCACTGAGTAGGAGGGCCAGACGGGAAAATATTTGGCTTGAGGTCATGATGAAAAGAGTGAGCCAAGGAAGGTCTGTGTGACATGAGCAAGAGCCAAATATTTTCCCATTGGGCTTGACCTTACTCATGAAGCATTTTATCGCATGACCACTTACTGTAAGTTAAAAATGTCAAAAAAATTGTCTCAACCGAAATAGGACATCCTAGACAGGCGCACACATAAAAACCACAAAAAGCTATTTTCAATAAAAACTTTTTATAAGCTATTTATAAGCATTTATAAGCTACTTGTCTGAGTATCATTAAATCTTACCTTGAAGTATCAATAAAATTAAGAATCACCCCTTGTGACAAAGTAATCCATTTTAATAATAATAGAGTTATTTTCTCAGAGAGGGTAGTTTTACAGTTGGATCATCTCAAGCACACTCCCCTCCCCTGAAATATTTTTGAAATGTTGGAAATTGCTTAACTGTATTTGCTTATCATGAAGCAAAGAGAAATATTACTATGCCCCACCTGGATGGGATGCTAGTCCAATGCAAGGTTACCTCCAATAATTTTGTCAGGTTTCCCTAACAATTTGCCAATACCAATTTGTCCTCCTGGGTGGGGTGACACCTTGTGAGAATAATTACCTCACCTAAGAACATAACACCTGATGATGCCAACATCTCAAGCCTGGACTTCTCGATGCAAAGTTAAGTACATTAGCCATTAACCATGTCCCAACAAGCTTTTTTCATCTACAATATACTGATCAAAATATAAGAAAAACATGTTCAAAAGCCTCAAAAGCACATGGTATGTTCAACAAACCTGTTGCCTTCAAAGTGTTGTTTACAGAAAAGACAGCCTCTTGAAAAGTGTGTATCTGATCTTTCTTGCTGCTGACACTCCAGAACATTTTCCTTCAAAGCAAAAAAAAGATACATTTTTCCCTTGGACAATTTGATTAGAATACCTCCAAAGTAGTTTCTAGTGGAGAACAACAAAACCTTGAATGGATACAGGTAACTAGAACAGGCTGGATAGTGACTATAAAAAGTAACTATGAACACCTAACCCTACCAGCCTCTGACGTTGCAAATCTTCCCTTAGATTTCTATCTTCAGGAAGTGAATCACATAAGAGGAAGTATTGGATCTTAGGACCAACATCTGTCAAAACAAAAAAGAAAATAGTGTTCACATCATTATATTCTACTGAAGCATGTAATGCCAACATTTATTCTGAGGACTCTGAGTTAACAAGAATAGCTTTAACTACACAATGTGACAATATTCTTAGAAAATTCAACTCATTTAGAACATCTTTCATGTCCATATAATAGTTTTAGCCCTGTGTCCCCTAATGGTGACTAGCATCTTATTGTTCATAGTCCTTGGGGAACTACTTAATTAGTCCCAGGCCTACATGCTGCACCTGGTTAGCTGTTGACTGACACTTAGTCCACATATGATCTCTTCCTTATCTCTGCCTTTGGCAGACAGACTTGTTCTCTTGAACAATGCTTTCAATAAGATTTGAAATAGGTGGCTACCTCGGTACAACACCCGCTGGAAAGAGACTTGATTGCGACTTAGCGTGGTGACTGTGACTTTAGCGCGGTGAAATATACCGGGTGATTCACAACAGAATACCTGCCGGAGCTCCGGCGGGTGCCGGGTCTTATTGAAAGCACTGCTTGAACATCCTCTGCAAGCATGTCCAAGCTTTGTGCCTAGGTCGAGTTTTCAGGCCTTTTTCCTATACCCTGTTCATGTGCAGTTCCTTATTAATTTTCTAGCACCCAGTCCTTCTCTCTTGCACCTTCCCTTCCTCAACAGAGAATCTTGTTTAGGCCTCTTTGACCTTACTTGGAGGTGTTCCTGAAAGATGCTCAAACAAATTCACTGTCTTGTTTGTTCCTTGTGTTGAAACACGAATGTTGTGAAAATATAGGAAATGCATGATTACTTGTCACTCTTAGGGGTCATGGGTTAAAATACTATGCTACTGTCACCTGTTACAGTACCACAAGGACAACACAGATGATATCACCAAGGTGGAATATGAAGCAATCATACCATCAGGTTTGGAATTGATGTTAATGACTGGACACACCTCGGTTATGGGTTTTTCTTTTAATCTTGTTTTCCAGTAACAAAGATACCTTTGCAAAGCAATAATGAGACAGACAGTTATAAATAATGGAGTAGTTTAAGGCCTCACTAAAATTTTGGTTTCTAATTACAAAATTAATAAACATTTTTGCAGTTTATTACAAACCTCAAATCTGAAAAAAAAAAAAAAGACACCTAAAGGTCCACAGTTGGCCAATAAACTAGACTTAACCTTTAAATCCCTAGGAGTGACCAGAATCAAATTTCTCCTTACAGCATCACCCCTGAACCAAAACTTAAGGTCATGAGAATCTTAGAAATGATCAGTAAAAGAGTTTCTAATATTTGAAAAGAAATTACTTTTAATTCAATTACCTAAATAACAGCCATATGTGGCCATAGTGGTAACCTTTACTGTTTGTGGTCCTCCTTTTCACAGTTTATAATTATCAAAAATTAAAATGTATGATAATAAGTTACAAAAAATTAAAATGAAACTTGGACAAAGGTGAAAAACGAGCCACATTACATACAATCATGATCCTTGTCAGGTGGGAGGAGTGGGGGGGGGGAGGGGAAACAAAATAGTAAAATGGAGGGGCTACAAATCAAGAGGGCTCACAGTCTGCACATCCTGAGTCATATTAAAGGCCCAACTAGTGGGCAAATTTCAATGCCCAGTGTCCTTTGTTAATTCTACAACAGGAATACATATTACTGACTACTAATGATATTGAAAAACAGTCTCACACTCTATCTGGTACATGCAGAAAACTTGTAGGTAATCTTTGCTACAGAAAATTGTGTCAAGTAAGGCTAACTACTGATCTTACACTACATGCAACAGGCACAAAACATACAGTTATCAATCTCTCTTTTCTATTAACACTCTGTCACGTCAGATTTGACACTGTACTATACTGTATTTGGTATATGCATTAAAACCCTGAAGGCAAATATTTTCCATGAGACTGCTACATAAGACTGGCTTCTTGTCTGCCTCTCTTTCTCATACCCTATTCAGTACCCACAGAAAAACTTGCATTGTATCTCAATTGATTGAAATCAAGTCTCGCACTTTATCTCTCACTCTACAGATAAATTAAGTCTTTTCAGGTAAGACCAGGGCTCGAAATCAACCGTAACCCGTAAACCAATGGTTAGTAATTTTCAATGTTTGGTTACTAAAATTGTGTCCAACTAACCTGACATGGTTAGTAAAATTTTCTAACATATTTAAACATTGGTAGACCTCAGGACAAAGAGCAAGTAGACCCTACTCTCAGAGGAATACTAAGAATACTCAAGTTGTTTAATCAACTGAAACTCTTTTTAGAGAATGTGCTGTAGATGTACTGTTCTTGACTAATCACGATAAAAAAGAGAGAAATAAAATAGGTGGATAATTGTCAACGTTTTTAAGGTCACCATGCAATTTCAGCTACTCTTTAATTTGTCCTAGTTGTTATTATCAAAATGTTCAATATTTGAGATATCGTAACTTGTGAGCTTGGATACCAAACTTTATAATCTGGTTAGTAAAAAAGATGTCTACTAACCTGAAGGGTTAGTGATCCAAAAATTTAATTTGAGCCCTGAAGACTATTTGTTTAACACTATATCTCACACTGTTCAGCAAGCACAGAAAATGTATATGTCATGGAAGATTATCTCAAGTTTTGCACTCTGTCTGGGATAGACAGAAAACACATATGAAAGGATGATTGCCTAAAGCCTTGCACTCTATTTGGCATGCACAGAAAGTGCACCTGTCAAGGAAGATTGCCTCAAGCCTTGCACTCTATTTGGCATGCACAGAAAGTGCACCTGTCAAGGAAGATTGCCTCAAGTCTTGCACTCTATTTGGCAAGCAGAAAAAATTAACACTTGCACTCTATTTGGTACGTACAGAAAACTCGCATGTCAAGTAAGGTCATTTGATAATCAGTAATTGCAGATAATTTTTACCAGATCGACTTTTCCCAGTTTTCGTTTTGACAATCGTGTGATTACAGCACAGTAGTGAAAGGTATTATACATTCAATTTATCTTTCACTGACTCTTCCCACGTATCTTGAGTCTTACCATCAATGAGACAATTCAGAATTCGAAAATATTATTTAGCCGAGACTAATTACACTTAGAAAAAAGAGATGAAGAAATTACAGTCAGCTAAAGAGATGAATACTGTCGCAAAAAGTGGTCGAGAGGGATGAAAAAAATAGCCCAGTCTAATTGAGCAAGGCCGATTTCGACTTGATATTTATCGTACGCAATCCTGCACTGGGTGCTTTGACATTCCTGCTGCAATCTACTCTTTGGTCAAAAGTAACACTAGGGATTGCTGAAAATCGAAACTAAAGGCTAATGCAATTCGATGAGCCGTGTCTTGCGTTATTTTCGGCACGCTGCTCTATTCGGCATTTCACAAACCACCTCGTGAATTGGTCCTTGTGGAATAGAAGTTTATCTAATTATTATTTAAGACACAAGATATCGAAATTCAAATAAGTGTTCCCTTGATCAGTGAGACATCTTGTTTTCATACCTCCTCATGTCACAAACTTGACCAACGTCTCCGATAACAAGTTGGTGTTCTATCAGCATGTGATGTAACACAGCGTCATTTTTCCCTGAGGTGTTTGGGAATTCCCTCTCACAGAAAATACAGGGAACTTTAAGATCCAATACCGAAAAATCTTGCAAAGGCTTCTCTGAAAAAGTCAAAACTTTGATTCCTTGTTGTACGTGGCTTCCTGTGATGGAAGATGAAGTCAAAATAAAATATGAATGAGTTGTTTTTCAAATCATATTGAATAATTCCCAACACACCCAGACCTTGATCCGCCATGTTGTCTCGAAGCAACATCTGAAGTGGTCTTACATGAGAGTTATCCAACTTCCCGCCAATTTAAACATAGTACCCATGCCTCCCCGGATACACCCTGCCAAAGCCGCAAATATTCAAGTTCTTGGGTGTTTATTGTCACGTTCGAGGTCAAATTAGTGATATTTTGCAGCTTTTTACGGAATTGGAACCATTGACACGGTAGGAAAAAGCTATTTGTATCGGCCTAACTCTAATTTCTTAAATATGAGATTCAATGAGAGATAGCTTCTTTGTAAAGAGATTCGAGGTCATTGACATGGAAGCTTTTTTGAGATATAGCTAATATGTCGATGAACATCAACAAAGATGTTGTTTCACCTCGCCTGAAGGCTTGAACTAGGAAAGTTTGCGAATTAATATAATCAATGTTACACTTTCGAATGCAAAATTTCTCGTTAGTGTGCAGCTGTCATTGAGAACTTCGTTCGCTAATCAACGAAAGAGGAGGCAAAACCTTTCACGTGGTTTTTCCCTTAGCGCGGCATGTTCAGTTATATTTTGGTAAATGACAGAGGTCATCTTTTACGTTTTTGTATCTGACCTCTCACCATAGTAATGATTTTTCCGTTGTCGGTGGGATTCGAACTTGGATCAGGTTTCTAGTTTTTGGCTTGACCATTGTGACCATGGATGAGTGTCAATTGCATAGCATGCAATGAAAGCTGAATCCTCACTGAACAGTAAACACGCGATGGAAATGGACTGGGGCTGTCTTTTAGCCAAGAATGTGCGTTATGTCGTTTCGCCGAATTACTTAGTTGGTTCTACCCTCAACTTAGAGCCCCCATATCACCTGGGTGTTTGTTTGCAAATGTGTATTATTTCGGTTTTCCTATTCAAAAGGATTGTTGTAAGGCTAATGAGATAAAACCTCTTATCTTGAAATGTGTCAACCAGCTCCTCGCTCTTCCAAGTCATGTTTACAATGGCCGTGGGTGGTATGAATTTGTTTGTTTGTTACGAGAATAATCAATAACAAATTCAGATACTTGAATTGAAGAACCAAAACAATGATGGAACCCACTGTTTCACAACTTAATTGTCAAACTGAACATTGAGTACATAATTAATAAGTTTGTTCACTATAGCAAAAATTTCATTATTGAGATTTCTGTGGTCAAGAGGCTGTCAGGTTCATATGGATGCAAATCACATTTGTGGTAGATTGTATTTAATCCGCATAACTAATCAACCATGCATTGTATAAGAAAAAAAAAAAAGACATCTTGAATTGCACTGCTCAAATAACATACCAGTAAACCATGCATTTGTTTAAGATCCTGGTTAACTCTTACACCCTGTTCATGAAGTTGCTCTGACGAACATTTGCTGTGCTTTACATTGAGTCGTGAACTTAAAAGTATTATACTGGGAAACATATTTTCCTCTGCAAATTGAGAATCTCACAGGTATTGTATTCATTTTTCAGTCGAGATTAATACTATTAAAGAGATAAACAAGTGACACAATTCGAAATCTGAGTGAAATTTTTTAGAAGTTTTGAGAGATGCATCAGATTATCATTTTCAAATGTTTACTAGAAAAATTTTGCAGAATGATTTAAAAAGTTAAATAACTACTACCATAACTTATGTAAAGTGCCTTTTTCTTCATGTGTAAAATAGAGCATAATTGTTTTCAAGGTTTCACTTTTAAAGTCAATGTGGTGTTTGAATCAGAAAGAGACAATCATCAAATCATAGAAACTGGGAATTAAAATAAAAAGGCATCAATGAACAATTTATCGTGAAGCTATTCAAATGCAGTGTATCCGTCATGGACCATCTCATTTACAACAATGGAGTTCAAATCAATTTGTTTTTAACTGTAGTTTACTTGAAGCCTCAGTTGGTAAACACAGTGTTTGCAAATCGTATTGAAGGGATATTAGACCAACAACCATTCAGTTCTAAGGAAATTGCTGAATATACGAAACAGTGTGTTTGCAAAGTAAATAAATGTGTTATTAGTTTGTCCTGACCATGAGATAAAAGGAAAGTTGAAGTCCTTCATAAGAATTCACACCTCAAGCTGTTGTTTTGGGTAGTCTGTTACTCTACTACAGAGTTATGGATAATTTGTTTTGAGCTGGGCCAAACACTAGGTTTGTACGTGACAAGCTTCCAGGATAATGCTAGGATCAGAAATCTGGTGTCATGTGCATAGATAGATGGAGAAGAAGGGTAAACTTTGGAGGTATTTTATCATGTTGAATTGATCATTTGTCCTTTTTCTTATTGTAGCCATCATGTGGATCAGAGTGAGGACAATGGATGGTCAAAGAAACACTCGTGTGAGGGGTTTGAGCAAACTTACCAAAATTGAAGACCTCAGGACTAAGCTTGAAGAAGCTTTTGATGTTCCACCCAGTAAACAAAGACTCTTCTTTAGAGGAAAACAGGTAATAAATTATCAATTTGACACTCAATCCTTTTTACTAAAGCCATTATTTGGCTAGCAATTTTACATGTAGTACATTATGATAACAGAAAAAATGCAATAACGGTGGAATGATAAATTTTTTGTTATTGGTGTAACAAATACTGTTAATTTTGCTTTCCCTTGTCTCAACTTTTCCCCGAATGCTCAAATTTCAAAGAAAAACGGTGGTTGATAAACATCGAATTGTTAGAAATTGCTGATTGACACATCCCAATCTTTAACCATAATGGGTACAAGCCTTGTAAGTTCTGTGTGACGTTTTTTCTCATTGGTTTTTCTTTTTCTTTTTGCGTGTTTGAAGTTCATTTATTTAAGTCTTTTCACTCTGTAATTATACTTATGTTTCACTAGCACTTTTCTTTGTCATTTCGTTACCGTCTTGTAGTTGCTTTGTGCAGCTTGCATAATTAATATCATGTAATATAACTGTTTTCTTGTTTTCGCTAAGCGCAGTTAAGTAATGTTTCTGAGGCCGTAACAATGTAAGTATTTTATAGTCCTCTTTCTTTTGTTTTGTTCGATATTTCTTTAAGTTGTATATTGTGTAACTATTGTAACCGTTTATTTTCTTTTTCGATCAACATCAGCTAATCAGGATTAAAGTGATTTATATTCAAATGAAAGACGTGGAGTTGATAATTTTGGAGCCACAGGCCACAGATTTCGCTTAATTGCAGTTTCAAACCCAATAAAATGAATTATGATAAAGTGGTAGAGGCAACAAACTAGTAGATGTTTTCAAAAAAGCATCTGATGCAAGGGCCGGGCATGGAAGAAACAAACACTAAGGGCTGGTTATTTAAACAAAATTTAGCCCTTCTTTAACAAAACCGCATTTTAAAGCTCTTCAATTTAGCCGAACCTTTTATCTGAACGTTTAATTTTATGAACATGCAGTGTCTAGAGGGCCGAAAGCTTAAAGTGTAAGGAAATTTTTTAGAAAATTCATCCCTCTAAGTCTAAGAGAGTATCTCTGAGGCCCACTGCTTGCAAACTGGGTTAGCGTTAGACCTTGTGTAAATAACTACCTCTAAGTTTTTCAAATGAGTGAAATATCGCCAATTTTATCATGTACAGCGCAACACCACCTTTTAGTTTCAGTTTTGTTATTATGTTTTGTGTACAGCTCTAGCTAAGGAAGACAAGCGTTCAGTGAGCATAGATATTACTGTATTCATTAATCATTCCTTAAGGAATAGTAAAATAAGTGCAAAGTGTGTACATGTATTTATAGCCACTTAATTAGAAGTTTACTGTTTCTTTGTTGAAAGCTTAAGATATCCTTAACTACAGTTCTGGATATCTCAGCTCATTTTTTCCTCAATGCATTTCACTAAATGTCCCAAATTAGTTGTTCTTATCAGAAAGCTCTTCTAACACAAACTAAATGTTCCAAAATGACCATTGATTATACAAGAAAGGTAAAAACGTGATTCCTTACTAATAATTAACAGGAAATTGGAATTCAACACCAATCCTAATATCATGAACCTGCCATCTCAAACTATTTTTGGTTTCCATAGGGAGTCAGAGTTAATGAGGTTTTACTGTAATATGAGCAGATTTTTGGATTATTTTTTATTCTTCAAGGGTTAGGAGACTACCTTGTAACTGGCAGAAATATCTGCCCTTATTATGTTATGCTATACCATGGATTAAGGTGTGTGTTAATATGCTTACTTTTAGATTCCAGTTGTATTATTTTATACTCACTGACGTCAGATATACCTGTAAATGAATTTATCATTGTGACTCTTTAAGACCTTATAGTTAAATATAACTATAGGGTCTTGAGATATTAATGTGAACAACAAGCGACATTTCACTTCGTGCTTTATTCTGTTGGTATTCTGAAGGGCTATGATTTGTAGCTTATTATAACCTGATTATTGTGTGAAGTTGAGTGCATGATATTAGTCAGTATGATGTAAGGGAAATCCTTTATTTTTCCCTTTATGGTTGTGCCTTACCCTAAGTGTGCTGGCATTCTTAATGTGTACAAGTACCTATGCATTATGATTATTGAACATTAAATTGGATTTGGATCTCGGCCAATTTATTGATTTGTCAGTGAGGTGTCAAAAAATGACAGGAAGAGTGCCTTAATATGACGGCTGGTTTCCATAGAAGATTCAATCATGATTTAATGGACTTAGTCAGTGTGCATGCTGGCTGCCATGCTTTTAATACAGTGTTTTATTCCAACCTGTCAGTCACACTCTTTGAAATTAACAAATGCTGTGTTAACAAAACTGAGTTTCTCCCCAAAATATCAACACATTTTCAGGCATAAGGGTGTTCAAGAGAAGAGAGAAAGATATTAATTCTAGGGTACTGGTTGATTTTATTACCAAATTCTTTGTGGCACAGTTATAAGAAATGTACAGCAGACAGAGCTGGAGATTGATATCTAGATCTTTGGAGCAAAGGAGTAAATGTTTCATGTATATCCATTCTTATTATTTCACAATTATGCCTTTTTACCATATTAGGGCATTGGAACACGCAAGATATGTTACACGATATGTTACACAGGGCAATAATACAGATGGAAAGTAAAGCAACAAAATGGGCACTCTGAACAAACAAAACCTTTTTTTTTTTTTAATATTTTAGACTTGCTCATTTTTTGCATTTTTCCTTGCCCAGGAAAGTATTACACAACTTGCAAAATACATTTGACTGTGGGTATTATGTGTTAAACCATTGAATAAGGTATTTATTACCTTTACTTGAACTGGTGTTGTTTAACACAGCTGTGTCAAAGTACAAGGTCTAAAGGCTGCAATCTTTTTGTGGATGTGAAATCTGAGAAAGTGATAATCAAAGAAATATTGTATTGACATCTTTGTATGATTGGGAGATGACTCAGAAACTCGGATGTGACACCTGACACTTAGTTAGTGAAAGATAAAAGTCGGCAGTGTTTTTTTTCATGGACATAAAAATTATCTAAAATTTCAGGATTTTCAAAACAGATGACATCCTTTCTAATGTTATGGCCTAAGTGGAACATTTTTGTCTTTTTATGTCAATAACCCACATGGTGCTGGTCCTTGCCATTTACAGGACACTTGTTGTGGTAAAACCTAGAAATGGGGCCAAGATTACTGTGAAGTTCCCTTTAGCTAAGTGGTAGAGTAACAGAGTGGAATCTGAAGGTCTGGAGTTCAATATACCTTCTAGGCTTGTATGTTTTGTGTATCCAGTTCAGTTCCTGATATATTACTTTAGAGTAAAGGCTGATAGTTTCTAAAGAAACTGTTTGGGGCTGCGTCAGTGGGGGTAATGAAATAATTTGGATAAAAAGTTGAAATGGTAAATTGGCCACTGTAACGATTACAAAAGCTGACATTTCGAGCGTTAGCCCTTTGTCGGAGCGAATAGAGGAATTGTGGGTTGTGTGTGCTTTTAAAGGCAGCAAATGGAGCTATGTTATTGGTGGGAACATGGCAACGAGAAAAGCACGAATAAATTAGTGGAATGAAAAGTGTTCGTCGATACCTGTGGGATTTAGACTGCCGGTTTGAAAGATTAGCTTTTGTTCAAGAGTTTACGGCTTTCCGTGCTACCTAAGTGTAAGGAACAACCGCAGATTGCCATATGTTGCTTAGAATGATTAGGTAAATTAAAATGTCTAGTGACTGGTTTTGATGTGTCCCTGTCATTCCTTTCCACATCGCGAAGGTGTTCTCGGAATCAGTCACCTAGTCTTCTGCCTGTTTCGCCGATGTCTATCTTTTTGCAACAAGTGCTAGTTATGCAATAGATTACATTGGTGGAGGTGCACGTGAAGTGATCGGTGATCATAATGGATCGTTTGGGTCTCGATATTTTCTCAGTGTTGTGAATGAAAGGACACGTTTTGCATTGTGCACGAGCGCATTAAAAAGTGCCTGGTTGGTCTGACCAAAAAATGGCCTGACCAAAAAATTGCCTACATTTTTGTCGCGTTTGGATGAAATGAGCGGAGGCTGGGAAAAGATATTGCTTGTCTCTGGATCGTTTTGAAGTTATTTAAAGTTTTTAAGAATGATGGATTTAACTGAGTGGCTGTGAGGGTGAAACTTGAGAGTGAATGGAATGTGGTCGGAATCTTCCTTTTGTGACGTTTGTAGTGCTGAATGTCGATCAATAAGTTGGGCACGGTGGTAACCCGCTTGAATGACAGAAACAGGGTAACCAACGAAGGGCTAACGCTTGAAACGTCAGCTTTTGTAATCGTTACGGTGGCCAATTTACCATGTCAACTTTGTTGATATATCCAAATTATTACTCTAGAGAATTGTTTCTTTCAAAGTTCCTCTTATTCACATGTGTATGTACACATAATGTACAAAAGATAAAGCTGGGAATTCACTTGAGACCTAAAATGGGTAAACAAAGTATTCAAGCTAAAGAGGTCTATTTCTGCAGATTTTTTTACTCCCTGCATGTGTTGAAACAAGGAGTGTCTTTCTTTATAAGACGAATTAGCTTGCTCTCTGACATCTTTCCTATTCTATATAGATTTAGTGCCTTCAGATGGTTATTCATGTTAAACCCCTTTGGTGTAGTGAACTCCACTCAAGCTCCTCCTGGCACTTTTTTTTTACTTAAAAATGGAACATTCTTTTATCTTTCAATTTAATCTTGTGTGGAAAAGGTAAGACATATCTAGCTCCAGTTGTGGTTAATACAGACTATAGCTAATTGTCGTGATACATGTGTGAATCAAGTAATCTATTTTATTAATGTTTCTAAATTCTCTTCTTACTTTAGCTTGAAGATGGCCACACGTTGTTCGACTATAATGTAGGGCTTGATGAGATAGTTCAGTTAATGATAAGAACAATTGCTCCACCCAACGACATTAACAATAATGGAAAACAAACCCAAGATGAGACTGAACAGTCAGTTGATAAAGAAGATGAGGAGTCTGCCATGCATGTCAATGGTCATGTGTCAAATAAGGACCAGGTGCAGTAATAATTCTTGATACACTAGACTTAATTTGAAAAGTGTGATTGGTTGAGAGCATTCAATCGATTAATTTACAATAGTATGTATTGACAGGATAACCAAATATCTGCAGTAGCTAGTTTATCAGATTGTCTTAAAATGTATCAAACCTCATCTATAAGTTATCTGCTAAAGCCAAAAGCTGAGACAGATAACTCAGACCTTGGTTTTGACAATTCATGATACCATGCTCAACCTCATCCAACACTTGCTTATTATCAGTCAGGTTACATTTTTATAGTTTGTTGCCCACACAGATCTGATAAGGCCTAATGATTGTTTTGTACCAGTCAGCTAGGTCTAAGCAAAATGGCCTTGAAGATGTTTCAAGGTTATAGGGTCTACTGAATTTCTCAGTGGACATTTGACTAATTTTTGTTGGTTTGTCATGTGAAAATAAGGAGTTAGAAGGGGACAAGACTCAACCAAGTACTTCAAAAGAAAAGGTTCCAGAAAGCCTATATAAGGTATGTTGTTTCAAAAACTATCTGCCCATAGGGTTTTTTTGAATAAATAGTGGCTGAATTTGGTCTTTTGTAAATATTTCTAGAATTTGTAAGCATTATTTCATAAACAAAGGTTAGTATTGGAGATTTGATCGTCTTAAATGGGCTTTGATATGTATTTGTTGTTAAAATAATTTTTAATTTTTTTCCAGTACGTGTAGAACTACATGTATGACACAACACAATTTTCACTCAGATAGGTGAAATGATAGATGCTAAGGATCCAAAAATGGGTGCATGGTTTGAAGCCAAGATTGTGGACATTTCTGTGGCAGAAGAAAACAACTCAAGCTCCATTTTATATCATGTGGTTTTTGATGGGTATGATAAACTTAAAGTGTACTTGACAAAGTCAAACCAGTAAAATGAAAGGTCTGAACAAAGCCAAAAGCATATTTGACAAGGGAAGATGAATTATTAAACTGAGAGATGAATATTTCAGAAATTTTAAGATTGTCTGGGGTGTATTGTAAAATGCAGTCACATCACATTTGTGTGGCTTGTATCGTGAATGGTGTGTCAACAATGAAGTAACTAGTTTCAGCAAACTTAACAGCAGATCAAAAAATACATAAGAAAAACAGAATTACTGGTATAGTCCTAGAAGAGGTCATGGAAGGTTGTGGAATTATGTGGGTGTTCAGATCAAGGTTTAGTGATATTGCAATAGTTTGTTCATAAAAATGAATTTAGCCTTTAATTAAAATTCTTTCCTCTCATACAACCCATAAACACCTTTCTGCAAAACATTTCTCAGGTCATGGTTTTGTTATTCCTATAGTTCTGAGGAAGATGAGGTGAATGAACTTCCTGAGAATTCTATTAGACCCATTGCTAGAACTGCCATTCCATGGGAACAGGTAAATCAACACTTTGTTTAACAAGCAGTAAGGATTACTGTCCTAATTGTATCACCTCTTTCTTGGTTGCTATGCCTTGGAACAATTGGTTTAGCAGTGCTATTTCATACTTTGTGACCTTTTTGGCAGGTTAACATTGAAGGCTTGACAACAAGTTAAATACATTCTTTGCAGGAGCTACCATAAAGTTGCCTTGTTTAATAAAGGATGTGGTGAACCTTTACAGAAGTCCTTCTCCATAAACTAAATCAATGGAGAGGTTATGGAATGCACTATTCTGCAAAAGTTGTTCTGTTAGCATGATCACATCTTTGTTTTAGCTTGATCTAATAATAAACCAAATGAGGTGGAACAATCAGAAATGGTCAATGTTTGTTTAAGCTAATTAATCGAGTACTGCAAATCTGACTGCGCAAATATAATTTCAGCACAACTTTGATCTTAATGGGTTGGTCTTCAAACCATGTAGATATTTTTTGATAAAAGAAACTGTTTACACTGTTGTTTGATTTTGTTGCTAGCTGGTTGTAAAAAGAAAAGATTGCTTGAACCAAGAGCCTTTATCTGATTCAGTTAGATTTTTTCAGTTGCCTTCCCTTGTTGAATTTGTTAAATTTCTTTCTCTGACAGTGAAGCTTCTGTATGACTTTCACCTTAGTACTCTTCTCTTTTTTATCTTTTCCTATTTACACTCTAGTTTTATATGCAGACACAAAGCAAAGATCACTTGAAAAATCTAGATTAAGGGATGATTAACCAATAAATCTTCAAATAAATAACTAGTGTAGATATGAACAAAAAACAAAAGAGACCAGGAATTGCCTGAATGCAGAACAACACACTAGATTAGCTGCACAGTGGATGCTACAGACTGCATTGAACCTGTTGTTTTCTATTTTGTGAATTATATGGAATGAAACTGTTGCAAGATTAGGAAAATGCAGCTGCCCATGATCTGTTAAGTAATAAAGAAGGGAATTAAGTTCCAAAGGAGGGTGGAATATATTTGCCTGTGGCATGCAGGTTTTACTAGAGCTCAATCCTGTCAATAATGCCCAATGAAGGTTTCAATGAGATGTCATCCAAATGACCTGTGGTCTGCCTATTTTTCCATTAAGATTTCAGTGGGACAGCTTGTAATGGCAAATTATAACCATGATGAGCCAGACGAGAGAGGTTACTGGTACGATTTCAAAATCACAAAAAAGGTACAGTTATTAAAAGTATGGATAGAATAACAAGATATAAGGGGTATAATGGTCAACTGGTAATTTTTACTAGGTTTTGTTATAAAGGCCACATATCTTTTTGTATTAACTGTGTACTAAATTACTGCCTTAAAATTTGTTCTACAGCTTGATGGTCTTACAAGAAAAAGTAGAGAGCTTTATGCCAGATTGTTATTAGGGTACAAAAATTTTTTTGTTAGTTGCCAGTTGGTCAATGTGTTGTTTGATTTTCTTAATTTTTGTAATTTTCTCAATTATTTCTCTTATTTTTTACAAGGGTCTTTGTCGTTTCTGTAACCTTTTGCATCCTCTGAATGTTTAGACAAGTTATTTTCTTACCTTCTCCCAACTGAAGAGTGAATTGGCCATTTGCAGGTTAAAAAAACAGAAATGTACCAGTCAGAGCATAAGCTTTATTTGGAAAGTGAATTTTTGGCTGTGATGGAAAGCAAATTTCTCTTTGTTTTAAGTCAAAATTTTTGACATTCAAAATAGGGAAAAAAGTAGGATTCAGACAAAAATAATCTTGATTTGTACCATGCATCCTTTCCCTATTTAGGCATTTCTCTTAATTGGGGCAGCTAAGATTTCATTGGGTTTCATGGAACAACCTAGACGCCTGTTATTTTTTTGGAAAATCAATTTTATGATATTATTTTAAACATAACATGCTTTTGGTATCAGCATTTGTGTTAGAAATTCTGCAAACCATTTTGGAAGTGAAATACTCTGGTTGATAATAAATTTTTAAACAGTTTTAAAAGTGGAAATTGGCATCAAAAGCTAGTGTCAAGCTTTGTATATTTTGTGGATAGTCAAGTGTTGAAATAGCTATGGTACCATATTTCACCTCTTGCTTTAAGAAATAGCACAGAAGACACAGTTGCAGAAGAGTGCAGACTTAAATTCATAGACAAAGAAATATTCCAGATTGAAGGTCCTCCAGGTATGTTGAAGAGCCTTGAGTATGTTTTAAAGTGTTACATCAATTTGGTGCTCAAGCAGGCACACTGTAGGAAGTAGACAGTAGCCAAAGTCCTGATTCGGTCTTCCCACGCTCATTTATTTTCTATAAAACAAACGTTGGACATTTCTATTTGGTGGATGCAGACACCGAAATTGAGTCCTTCTGGGTCCAAGACCTGTGTTAAGTGGACTCTTTAACAGGCTTTATAACAGATTTTTGTTTACTTCAGGGAAACTGTGCAGTCTCAAAATTGATTTTAGTTTACCTCATTAAATGTTATACCTTGTAAGAAAGCAAAATGTGTTAATATGCTTATTGAATCACAAACCACTACAATGGTGACCCATTAATAGGCACACCACATAACAAATTGTATCCGAGAAGAGTGAAGCCCAAAGAAATAAAAAGCAGTATTTTCTCTTTTTATACAGACCCCTGTAGGTCAGGGGAATCTATAAGTTCATCCAGCAGTAAATCTTCACCAGCCAAAAGTATGTACACAAAATAAGTCTAATAGACACGATTCGTAATAAGTAAACCAGGTACTTAACAGTTTTAGAACCAGGTCAGTACTTCAACTGAATAAAGTGTTTTAGTGTTTATTTTGTTTGGGCAATAAGAACAAGAAAGAGCCAAAGCAAAGTAATGAGAAGGATATTCATTTATCAGTAACAGCATTGCAATCATTAGTTGTTCTGTATCATCAACCATGTCAGCCCTTTCACTCTTAAAATGGGAACTTATTGTACCTTTAACTCTCCCGTTCTTTAACTATATATTGCCTTACAAGGATTAAGTGTAAATGGGGGAACTCATAGTTTTTTCTTTGTCTCCTGCTTGTGACAAAACAAAAAACCAAAAATTGTTTCCCTTTCAACCCTACTTTTGTTTGTTTTCTCTCTTCACACAGTTGCTTGATAATGTATTTATATCACAAGTATAAGTTAATTGTCAATCACTACTTAAAGTTGAAGTATTACACATTGTCAAGTAGTGGATGTATGTTATGTTATATTTTACCTCTTTTTCTATTGTGGAAATCATTATAAAGGACAAGTGAAGCCTGACTGCAGCTACTGTAAAGATGACCCAAAGAAATTGTGCAAACATTGCAATTGTCATAAGGTACATTATCAAGTTATGAGAGTTACAATATTCTTTTAGGTAGATTTTTCAAATCAGAAAGCATGTAGCTCAAATTTAATTAAAACTGCTTTTTTCCCCATGTTGTAACAATATGTGTTAAAGTTGAGACTTTAATTTCAGGTGCTTACAACAGCACTGGTATTTGGAGACCTTGAAATTTCCCCCAGAAAATTCTGTACTTAGGGGGTACCTTTTCCTAGCTGTCATTATAATGTGATCGTGATATATGTGATCTGTATTTTATTCCGATAATCGTATCTTCAATTCTTAAGGATTGTTGCTGCTGCTTTATTGTTATAGCAGAAAAAAAAGAATTGCTGGGCTCCTCTACCTCAATCATCTCCCAAGTAGTCTACTCTCTCAGATTTTTTGTTTCCAACAGCCCTTCAAGTGGAAAACTGTAGTTCATAGGTGCCAGGTGGTAATTTTTGACATTGTAACCCCATCTCCCCATTCCCATATACTGTTAGTACCCATTTATGGTTGGAGCAAAGGGATGGAGTGGGTATAACATTTATTTATTTATTTTTTCTTGAAACAAATATCAAAACCTTGAAAATGAATTGAATGCTCCTGTCTGCCATGCAGGGAAAATAATGAGTGGTCACTTTTAATTGTTTGTTGTGGTCTCTTTGTTACAGTGTGGTGGAAAAGAAAACCCTGGTGACCAACTCCTTTGTGATGAATGTGACTTGGCCTATCACATCTATTGTTTGTCTCCACCTTTGGAAAAAATTCCTGAAGATGATGAGTGGTATGCTTCTCATTTTCCTTTGCTGATATTGTGATTGTTTATTTTGTAGTTCTGGAAATTTTGATGAAATTGAAACTATTCTCATAAACATGATTCTAATATTGTTTTCAGGTATTGCCCTCTGTGTAAAAATGATACATCACAGGTAAGATGGTACATGTAGTGTTTGGATCCTAATAAAATCATGTGTGCATGTAGTCCATACCCCTTATTAACTGGACGTAATTGTATTACAAATTAAAGTATTTTAAATAAAAAATAAAAAAAACTAAATGAGATGGACATGTAAGATGAGTTTCCAAGAAATCTGAGTATCAAGTGTCATGAAAGAGAAAGAAAGAGAAATTGAGTCGTATGATGAAATTCTTCAGCTTCATGTCCAATAAAGCATGGTGTTGGGTTAAATTTATATATTTCATTGGTATTAAATAATTTGTTACTTTGTGTCTGTTAGGTTATTCATGCTGGAGAGAAACTAAGAGAAAGCAAGAAGAAAATGAAGATGGCTTCTTCAAATTCAACTACAAACAGGGATTGGGGAAAGGTCAGCATCAAATGTTCAAATTATCTCTAATTTTGATGGTACAAATGGGGCAGATTTAGTCATGCTCTTCAGGTCACATTTCATCAGCGTTTTGATTTTATAGTGATTTGCTCTTGTGTAAGGTTGTAGGGGTCAAAATTGAAATAGAATGGAAAAAAATAGAATGTATATGCATTAAATACAAGTACAACAATAGAGCTGTTGGTTTCTTGATAGAAATTACTCAAGAAAATGATTTGGCACAACAAACTTGGTGATCAAATGATAAAAACTATTGAACTTGGCTATTTTATGATATCATAGTTTGTTGGTGGCAAGTAATTGTATTATTTACAAGCTAAAATTTACTTTCTTATACAGTGGATTTACTTTGAAAACTGATTGGTTGAGAGCATACAGTTGACATACAAACTCTGCTTAGTTTTTAAGCCCCTTGTCTCATTATTTTGGTGTTCTCGAACTTTTGCAAGCTCAGATAAAAGTGTCTTCTTTTGCAGATTGTTTAGAAAATGTATAATAAAACAAGTGTCAAATTTGGTTTTTGCATGCTAGCATGAATTATCAAACCTTGTGTCTGTCTTATCTGCCTCAGCCTTCAGCTTTGCTAGACAATTCAGACCTCAGCAAAAAATTTGATAATTCATGATATACATACAGGTTAGTTAACCACTTCCCATGGGGGCTTTTCAGGGCCAATTCCCACCCATCCCACTCCAGGGGAGGACATCCACGACACAGTAATCTCGTGTGTGGGAAATTAACGTCTCCTACCCTTAACCCTGCAGGAGATGGGGCCTACGGTTTATCCATCCTTACCTGAGAAGACTAGAATATCTATCCATTTCTTGATTATGGAAAGGTAGCAATTTCCCCTCACTTATTTTAAGACCATGAGTATTGGTCCATATCATGCTTAACTTCATCCAATAATTGCCCTGTACTTTGCATTATGCAAGTTTATTAACCAATAATTATTTTTAGGGTATGGCTTGTGTTGGGCGGACTAAGGTTTGCTCTATTGTGCCTCCAAACCACTTTGGACCAATCCCTGGAGTTCCTGTAGGATCTTGTTGGAAGTTTAGAGTTCAGGTTTGGGTTCCTTTTCTTTTTTTTCTTTTTTTCTTTTTTTTTTTTAGAATTTTGGAGGTATTATGCAATGTAAAGGAGAAGATTGCTCTAAAAACTCTGCACTTTTCCTCTCTTGTATAAAAATGGATATTCACAGACCTTACTTTCCAGGGTGTGTGGAGGTGCGGTGGCCTCATGGTTGGTGCATTTGACTCTGGATTGAGTGGTCCGGGTTCGAGCCCCAGCCGGGACATTGTGTTGTGTTCTTAAGCAAGACACTTTACTCTCACAGTGCCTCTTTTCACCCAGGTGTATAAATGGGTACTGGCAAATTTATCCTGGGGGTAACCCTGCAATGGACTGGCATCCCATCCAGGGGGGAGTAGAAATACTCCTAGTCGCTTCATGCTACAGAAACCGGAGTTAAGCACCAGCCTAATGGGCCACTAGGCTTGTAAACAGACTTTACCTTACTTTCCAGGGTGTCTAGAGGCTCAAAGGGACAGTCTAACCTTTCAACTCTTGTTTCAAATACGCTTAACCCTTATGAGTGATCAGCATCTATTTTCTCGTTACAGTAAAACTACTGAATCATTCATTAAGATCATAGGAATAAAGGATCTAAAAAGTTTTGATTGTTACACAAATTCTCCTTGTTAATAGCAAAGGAATTGTATTGAGAAGAGTAAGGAGAATATGAATATTGATGCTAGGGTTTTGGAGTGAAGCCATGCTGTGAGCTCTATTCAGGTTTAGTGGCAAGGTTGCCCAGCACCATTTGAAATGGTGTCATCTGTGAATGAATGAATTTTTTTAAAGCACATTTGAAGGTTGGGTCACTCTTTGGATTCTCAAAATATGACTAGCATCTTAGTTTCATAAAGGTTAATTTTCTAATGATAGGAATATAAATTACTTGGTTTGTAGAGCGCGATTGCTCTTTCAGTCAGAATTAGTTTATGTAGAATCTCAGAGTGAGAAAATAGTTTTCAATTTTGTTGTGCATAATAATTATGCTTACATCGCATCTACTTTGTGTTTGTAATTTATATGTATTTTGTTTTCATTTTGATTTCTTGCTCAAGGAAATATTTACTAAGCAAATAAAACTTTTGATCAACGCATTGAAGCTGTCAGTTTAGTGCTAACCAGCTGTTTGATGTTTTGTCTTTTTTCAGGTTAGTGAAGCTGGGATTCACCGTCCACATGTCAGTGGTATTCATGGTAGGGATGGTGATGGAGCCTACTCTATTGTGCTGGCTGGTGGATATGAAGATGATTTGGTGAGTCAGCAGACTACAATATGATACATTATCAGATAAATCAGTTGCTATGGTTTATAGGAAGTTCCTTTTCAACTAGTGAGATTTCCTACTATTTTTTTTGACCAAGTTGTAAAACTTGGAATTCTAAATTCTGTACAGAGGAACCCTGCCTTTCAGTCATCTCAGTGGTATGATCTCATTATTGCTCTTTTTTTTTTTTTTCACCCTGCAAAACAACCATGCACTTTCTTATAAAAAAAAACACTCATTAAGGGGTCCCCCATTTTTACAGGTAACAGCCTGTTTTTATGAGAAAGGGAATAGGTGTTGAAGCTAACAAGTGAAGCAATTTAGTCATTGAGCTTTGTCGGAAAGTTGATTTATACCAAAGTCGTCCACTTAGGTTATTTAGATGCCTGGCTGTTTTTCTTGTGGCTTCCTCCTAGCTCTGTGGTTCTCTTCAACTTGAAGCCCTGTGTATATGTTCATTTTTTTACTTTATGTAGGGGTGAGAGGATACTTTAAAAACTTGTAACCTTGAATAGAAAATATAGCTTATGAAGAGGCTTTGCCAGGAATCACTTCTGCAATATACCATGCTAATTGTTTCTCAAAGTGTTTTTGGAGGGGGTTGAAGTTTTGCAGATTATTGAGGTTAACAGGTATTTTCATGATTGATTTGGATCTGAAACTGGTACTAGGTGTTGTATTTGATGGAAAGGGGGATCACAGTTATCAATGTTTGCAAGTATATATGTATGTATATAAATAAAGTGTGACTTGATTTTCGTAGAACAGTGCTCAATACATAGGGATGAACTTGTAGTTTACTTGTCTTTTTCCTCCCACAATATATGTATATAAATATATATTTATCGTTTGAGCTCCATTGATTGAAATTTTTGCTTAGGACAATGGAGAGGAATTCTTTTACACAGGAAGTGGTGGTAGAGATCTCTCTGGAAATAAAAGAACAGCTGAACAGTCATGTGATCAAACTTTAACCAAGATGAACAGGTGAAGTTAGTAAGAGGCCTTACTAAAGGCATAAAGGCTGATAGTTTGTAAAGAAACTGTTTGGGGCTGCGTCAGTGGGGGTAACGAAATAATTTGAATATATCAACAAAGTTGAAATGGTAAATTGGCCACCGTTACAATTATAAAAGCTGACGTTTCAAACGTTAGCCCTTCGTCGTAGCGAAGGGCTAACGACGAAGGGCTAATGCTCGAAACGCTTGCTAAAGGCAGCTGAGTTTGTGTCCAAAATAAAGAAAATTATATATTTATTTGAAAGGAGAAACTACATGTAACCCTGAGTATGAACCTAAAAGGCATATATATCCAATCTGTTTCAGGGCACTGGCAAAAAATTGTTCCGTTCCATTAAATGATAAAGATGGAGCAGAGGCTAAAAACTGGAGAGAAGGAAAAGCTGTGAGGGTGGTATGTTCTAAATTTGATTTTGTACAGTAATTTATTTTGTAAAGTAATTAATCGCAGATTTAACCCATTAGATCACTTCTTCACTTGTTAGGGTTTAAACTTAATTGGTATTCTTTATATATGACCCCATATCAGGTTAGAAGTGCCAAGCTGGCAAAACACTCCAAATATGCACCAGCAGATGGGAATCGATATGATGGCATATATAAGGTGGGTAGATCATACAGGTTCACAGAAGTGTACTGTATGGTGTGGCTAATCACAGTCTCTGGAAGATTTTTAATCCTTTTGATATTTATGTTTCTTTTCATATGACACATTTTTTTGTTTTTACCACACCTTGATATCATTTGTGATATATTATTGAACAGACACACAGCAATGTGGAATATGCAGTAAATGGCTTGAACCCGGGGGTAATATGTGAAGGTGTAGTCTGATCGTCTGGGTGAGTGTAGTCCTGAGAAGAACTGTTGTCGGTGGTAGTGACTGACATTTCGACAACCTGTGCGGAAGTCATCATCAGAGTCAAGTGAATGATTGTTGTCAGTAGAATGTTCTTATTCCAGTTCGTGTGAAATGATTGGTTGGTTTTGCCATGATGTTATTGGCTGTAAGACTCAAGTGACGTAAGTCGGTCCTGATTGGTCTGTTTCGATCTGTTGGTAAAGTTAGGTCGTTCTTTTTTGGTCGTTTGTGATGTTTATGACGTGAATGAGTTGTTTGTATGGAGCAGGTAGTTGTTGACATCTGTTTAGGGGAGTCTGTTCTAAGTTAGTAAACCAGCTTTCCAGAGTCAGTCATTGAAAATAGTCAACACGACGAAATTAACACATTCCACAACCACCTTAACGAACAAAACACTGACATACAGTTTACCAGAGAAGTTGAAGAAAATGGCAAACTTCCTTTTCTAGACTGCCTGGTAAGCCACAATGACAACTCATTATGAATGACAGTTTACAGGAAACCGACACACACCGACAGATTACTAGACGAGTCATCCTACAACCCTACATCACACAAAGCCACAACTATCAGAACTCTAACACGACGTGCACAACTAGTATGTGACTTGACAGACAGCTTATCTGACGAGAACAAATACCTTCACCGTGTTTTTACGAAGAACAACTACAACAACGACTTCGTCCAACGAAACACTCACCAACTCACTACCTCTACTGAAACAAATGACACTGCAACCCCTACGACTACAGCAACCATACCGTACATAAAAGGCATGTCTGAAAACATCTCGCGCATCTTACTACCCTTCAATATCCGCGTCGACCACAAACCCATCACCACACTACGTCAGTTACTAACCAACGTTAAAGACAAAGATGAACCGAGGAACAGACAGGGAATAATTTATAAGATCAATTGTTCCGACTGCCAAGCCTCCTACATCGGTGAGACTGGCAGAAACCTCACAACAAGACTGACTGAACACAAATGGGCGACAAGGAAAGGTGATGTCAGCAATCACATTGCTGAACACCATCGACTTGACTTACCAACCACAACATTGACTGGGACTCTGCGCAATGCCTAACCTACAGCACTGACTATTTTCAACGACTGACTCTGGAAAGCTGGTTTACTAACTTAGAACAGACTCCCCTAAACAGATGTCAACAACTACCCGCTCCATACAAACGACTCATTCACGACATAAACATCACAAACGACCGAAAAAGAACGACCTAACTTTACCAACAGATCGAAACAGACCAATCACAACCGACTTACGTCACTTGAGTCTTACAGCCAATAACATCACGGCAAAACCAACCATTCATTTCACACAAACTGGAATAAGAACATTCTACTGACAACAATCATTCGCTTGACTCTGATGATGACTTCTGCACAGGTTGTCAAAATGTCAGTCACTACCACCAACAACAGTCCTTCTCAGGACTACACTCACCCGGATGATCAGACTACACCTTCAAATGTGGAATATATTCTTTAAATAGATAACTTTTTTGGCCTTTTATTTTCATGCAATTGCTTTACACATTTCCTCTGACAATCTGCATTTGACAGGTTGTGAAATACTGGCCAGAGAAGGGAAAATCAGGATTTATTGTTTGGAGATACTTGTTGCGCAGAGATGATGAGGTGCAGATCAGTTTATTCTTTGAATGATAATAAAGGATCACTTCAGATCTTGTATACAACTCCTAACAAGAGGAAAATTAATACGACTTTCTTGTAAAGTCAGTTGGTACTAAATTGGGTGGAATTTTATCTTTTTAACGCTTGTTCAATAAGACCATGCACACAAACAGAAAAAATTCACTTCTTTCAATTCATCATATTTGAACAATTCTTTTAACAATTTTATCTAGTCCCCAGCACCATGGACAAAGGAGGGCAAGAAATTAATTAAAGAACATGGCTTGAAAATGGTGGTAAGTGAAATATCTATGATACATTGAATATCTACTGCGAAGGATTGTGCATCATATGAAATATATGTGTTAAAAATTTTTTGTGATATTTTTCACTTTGCCAAAGTGATAACAAAGCAGGTTTACAGGGGAAAGCATGTTTTCATGGTGGTGATCACTATTGTGCAGATACAATTATATGACTCGCAATAACTTGAACCATCAATGACTGCAAAGAATATTGGGTTATCAGTTATAAAATTACATTAAAATAATTGCCGAGGGAGACCAAGATTGCATGTCTTTCAAGTTAAAGTAAGTTTGAACCATCAGGAACCATATATTGAGGTTCTACCTTTACCTTAGTCAGACTGGGTCTCTAATCATGATTGAATTTCATATCTCTAGTGTGTTCTACCTTCTCAATTTTCACTTTTATCCACATTACTGTAGTTTTTTGGTTATTAGGGGCACTGTTTTTTCTGAGAAATTCATCTTTTCTGTTAAAAACTACTGCCAAAGTCCGGGTGCATCTCATGGTTGAATATTTTTGGGTATCATCAGTATCCTGAAGGATTTTTGGAGGCACAAGCCAAAAAAGAAGAGGAAAAAAAGAAACAGCAGAAAGAAAAAGAACAAGACAAGGAAACAGGAAAAGGAAAAGGGAAAGGCAAGGGTAAAAGGAAACGGGATGAAGGTTAGTTTAAAATTATTTAACCAGTCAGTATGCAATTTTGGAAACAGGAGAAAAAGGAAGGGGAAAAAAAAGAACTCCCATGAAGAAAACAATGCTTAACTCACTGTTTTTAACAATTTTTAATCTTGAATTTTATGCTGAAACTACTTATATAAATGATTTTATTCTTAATCATTTTAAATTTTATCGTCATAGGATTTGTATATAATTATACTGTAATTGTTATATTGTTATAATACAATAGTAGATACCACACAAGTGAGTGCTTATTTTTGCGGATGCTGATTGGCTAGTTCGCAAGTGAACAGCAAAACTATTTACCACGAGTGGCCAATGAGATAAAATTGTACATGAGTGACTTAAACAGAATTTCTCCCAACAACATCATTACATATATGTGCACGATCCTTCGCAGTAAAGCACTATTTAAGCAACAGTGAAAATCAGACCTGAAAAAAATTCAGGCCTGTACGGGATTCGAACCACTGACCTCAGTGGTTCAGTAGTTCGAATCCCGTACAGGCCTGAATTTTTTTCAGGTCTGATTTTCACTATTGCTTAAATAGTGCTTTACTGCGAAGGATCGTGCACATATACGTTTCATAACCGCAGTTCATATATATGTATTTCATATGTTTGTTGTTTGAACATCATTACAATATGAAGCAAACAAGTGCTGACAAAAGAAAAGTATTAGTTAAGGGATTATTAGTTGATCTGTAACAACTACTCCAAACTAACACCATATTAATTGTTTAGCAGACAGTAGGGAGAATTACTAACTAGTGACATCTAACACCATCTAACACCATAAGAATTGTTTAGCAGACAGTAAGGAGAATTACTAACTAGTGACACCTAACACCATCTAACACCATAAGAATTGTTTAGCAGACAGTAGGGAGAATGACTAACTAGTGAGATCTTGGGAGTGAGAGGTTTCAGGGTGAAACTTGAGTTGCAGAGAATTGTCTTCAGTTTTCCTCCTTTCATTTTTGTTTTTTCACTACTGTCACTGTAAGTCCTGTATTTGATACTTAGGTGATGTGAGCCCAGCCAAATCACCTCCAGCAAAGAAAAGAAGCTATAAGTTACCAGAAAAGATGAAAGAATTGCTTGATGCTGATACAGTAAACACAAAACTCTGGAGTGAAGTCACTAGTGAATTACAAGACTACCCAGTGAGTTTTTATTCTTACAAGCAATATGTTATCATATTGGCAGTGTTACTAATAATGGTTAAATATATTTTGACAAATTTGATTACAACGTGAAAACTATTTTTGTAAGAGTATATCTTTATCATTATTCCATACTTGTACACTTTTCTCTTACTGCTGTTTATTTTATTTTATTTTTGATGACGTACTGGTAAGAAATCTTGTAATTCATCTGCAGACATTCATTCAAAAGGTAGAAGAGGCATTTACTTGCATTTGCTGTCAAGATATTGTATGTGAACCTATAACTACAAAATGTCTTCATAATATCTGTAAGGTAAGTTTCTTTTTGCTCTTTCCATTGAAGGTTAAATAAATATATCTAGGTTCCAAGATTTTAGCTGCTGGTAGTATTTGGGAAACTCTTAGAAATGTTTAGTGCAAATGAGTTTTGTGATGTTGGCCTCCTGGGGAATGAAACCTGTCAGAATAATTTTAAGGATTGCAACTAATAAACTTGCTCCACATCAAGGCAAAGTCATGATCATGTGATGACATGTAAATATTGTCCACTTCAAAGAAGGGTAAACACTGCAACTAAACCCAGGGCTTCACACTAACTTTTCAACTTACTAGCCAAGTGGCCAGTAACAACTTAGATGTTATAACAATTTCAGTTTGATTACTAGCTAGGTGGTGGAAATGGAAAACCACTAGCTAAAACTGAATTTCTACTAGCCTATGGCTAGTTGGCCACTATTAGTGTCCAACCCCTGTGAAACTTTGGGCCTTGGACTCCTAATAGTGACCAACATCTAATTTCTTCTTCAATCTCCTTCGATTATCAATATCACTTATTGTTACTATCATTACTATGACAAAATCACTGATTGTAAAGGTCACAAGAGTAAAGGTAATTGTCACCAATTTAAGAAGCTCTTGACTATTAAACAAATTCTCCTTTTCAACACCTAGGAAATGTCTAGAGAACAGTATAAAAAATATGGTAATTTGGTAATATCAACTAAGTTGAAATTGTAAATTGGCCACCGTAAAGAGTTAAATAGCTGACGTTTCGAGGGTTAGTCCTTTGTCAGAGCGAATGGACGAAGGGCTAACACTCGAAATGTCAGCTTTTTAACTCTTTATGGTGGCTAATTTACAATTTCAACTTAATAGTTGATATTACCAAATTACCTTGTTACCCCCACTGACACAGCACTGCAGTTTCTTTAGAAACTTACCCCTTTATTCAGTATGGAGAATATGCATAGTAAAGTTAGGGTGTAACAGGTTAATGTAATGTTTAATTTTAAATTCTTCATCCAACAGTTTGATTGATTATTGAAAAAAATTAATTTGTATTTTCACAGAGTTGTCTACAACGCTCCTTTAAGGCAGAGGTTTATTGTTGTCCAGCTTGTCGCACAGAGCTTGGAAAGAACTACAAATTCATAGTGAACACGCATTTAGATGCAGCTCTCAATAATTTGTTCCCTGGTTATACTAAGGGGCGGTGACCCCTCCCCTCTTAGGTTGCTTTTGAAATGTAGCTGAGCATAACTCATACTACTCTTAAATATTATGGAAAATTGTCTTCTTAATGATAGACCCTACAAACCCTAAGCCCCTAAACATGAAAACACAATGCCCTTAAAAAATGGACTAGAAATTTTCAAACAATTTTATTGTTAGCCCTTACTAACCTTCAATGCAAATAAAAAATTAAGAATGCACTTTCCTTACTTTATTAGTAGGCAGTCCATCTCTTGGGTTTGTATTTTCTTAAATTTTCGCCCAAAAGTAGGTTATAAAACCTAAATTAGATTACAGGGGACAGACATAAGAAATAACTTTACATTGATCACTTAGTGCTCTCTCCCTCAACTATTTAATTCCACCTATGTTTTTTTGCTTTGAAGAATTATCAGAAGTTGCCTTTTAAAGCCTTAGAGTTCAAAATTACCTCTATCATGATGCTTTTAGATAATTATCTATAAATGTTGTTATTTTGGGGTCTATGTTTTCAAGTTTTGGAGTCTAATGGGTCCTTGTTTTTAAGACATGCTATGAATGACATGCATTAACGTGAGATTATATGTTATCAAGTATATTTGAAAATACCTATTTGGAATTTTGCCTTTCTCAAGCTAACAACATATTGTTCTTTCAACCAATAATATGCGTGGCAGTGTAACTTAATAGTACTTGATTGTATATTAACTATATTTTGTTAATTGTGATAAGATGTTATGAGTAGTTGTTGTGAACATGTTTGATGCTTGAAGTGAAGATTCAAGTACGTTCTTTCTCATGTGGCATGTGCTTGTTGTGCCCAAGTGCTATATGCTTACTTTGTAGATGTTCAAGAAATTTTCAATGGAGTTTCAAAAGTTATCCTTAATTAGGTAATTTGGTTATATCTACTAAGTTGAAATTGTAAATTGGCCACCGTAACGAGTTAAAAAGTTTTGAGCGTTAGCCCTTCGTCAGAGCAAATGACGAAGGGCTAACGCTCGAAATGTCATCTTTTTAGCTCATTACAGTGGCCAATTTACAATTTAAACTTAGTTGATGTAACCAAATTACCTTGTTGCCCCCACCGCAGTTTCTTTAGAAACTTTCAGCCTTTATTCATTTATCCTTAATTAGTTGTTACTTTGCTCTGTGATTGTTTTGGAAAATTTGTGCCACCCATTCTGATGCAACACCAAAATCAAGCATGATTACTCTGCCTACTATGTCCAGGAATGCATTCAGTAGCAAAAATGGAAGATTCAACGAAATTTGGTCAAATTTGTCAAAATTAAATCAGCTAAGCAAATTTGTTGATTTTGATGAAATATTGCCATTTTTGTCAGTGTATACATCTCTGGACATAGTCCTACCTTAGGCAGTTTTGTTGTACTTTGAATTCTCACAAGTTCCTTACAATTTTCGTTTATCTTTATTGACTGTTGTGATTAATTTGTTTTTGATAGTACCACACTCAGTGGTAATGCATTGTTGTATGCATAATGCATCTGTCTCCTGTGGGTATTGGCTAGATATAGTAGTGAAATTTGAGGTACATTTTCTCAACAGAGTGAACTGTTTCTTGACAGTCAAGGAGCAGAGTCCAAAAGAAAAATTTTGAACTATTCTAGATTTCAATTATTGTAGGTTGATATGATATTCTTCAGGTAATGCTGAACATTTTTTCTTAATGTTGGGAACCATTAGTTTTAGTTATAGGTGTTGTAAAATTATTTTTTTGATATCATATTATATTAAAGGGCTGTTCATTTTCAATTGCATTCTTGATGGGATTAAGTTTCGTGTCAGTATTCCAGTTTTCTTGGTCATTGGTCCATAAATTAACTGAAATACTAGGTACTCCCCTATGGGTCAAAAACCTGTCATTTGTGGTACCACTGGAGCCATGGGTGTTTTGTAAGAGGAGTTGACTGCAATCTCTGTTTTGGCGGCTGAAATAAGTCAGGATGTAAAGATTACCTAAAAGATTGTTTGTCCTGTTATTGGCTCGTGATTTCTAATTTCCTAGGTGTTCTTAAAGCATCGCACTAAAAATTAAAAGGTTTCTGGGTAGAGGACAGCTGCAACCTTCTTTAATTTCACCAAACCCTAGCAGTTGCTCCCTGGTTTTACTTCCGGCCCTCATTATTGGGCCATTTGTATACATAGCCAACACCTTTCAGGAAGTGAGTCAGATTGAATTCCATCAGGTCAAGAAATGGTTCGAAAATTACAGTACATTTCAATTCCGGGGAAATAGAGATTTGGAGAATGCTAAAGGAAAATTGAAACAATTGTAACACTGCAGATTTCACAGTGTATAAAAAATTGTTTAGTTACTATGTTGATGTAGAAATTCAATTCCCTCAAAGCAATTACATAAATTATCACATTTGTAAAATAAATGATACTATGAGTGTTCTTGTTAGTCATAAACCTACTGTTTTGTTCACTGGCAAACTCAGTGAATTTACAGAAGCAGTAGACTGCACTTTCTATTTGGTTTACTGGCATAAAAATGGGGGAAGGGGAAGTTTGAAAATCACTTGCGTTTGGTTTCTCACTCACAAACTTTTCTTGTGTTCTTCTAACAACCTGTGGGGTGGTATAACGCTGGTAAACGTGTAGAAATTTTAGTCTACTGCTCAGAGTGAATCCTGAAATTCTATTGTTGAGCGAGTCATCCATCCTTGATTGGCTAACTTGGTGATGTACAAGAAATACACCAATCTGACCAGAACTACATAGCTTCAAGTGATAAAATAAGTTTGACTTCTAAGCCAATGTTTGCATCCACTTGTTTAGTACCTGCTGAAATAATTATTCACCCTACTTTCAGCCAATACTTTTCTGCATACTTAGATCAGAGCAAACAGAAACAATAGGTTTTCAGTTTTAACTCAGGTTTTCATACCAGTTGCAGATGCTGTTTGCCACATGCTGCAGACTAGCATTTCCTTTCATCACAGAGAAGCTTTGATCTAGTCAAACTGAAACCTTGCATGAGAAGACATTAATTTGAGGTCTCAAGTAAAATTCCATTTTGGACATGCTGTAGGCTAACACTATTTCACATCCAGATGTCCATCCCTGGGAAGTTGAATTTAATCTTCATCTTCCAACAAAACTGACCCTTTAAAAGGTTTACACCTCCATTAAAAGATTTGAAATTAGCATTCGAGCTAAAGATAAACACTGTTTCTGGATGTGTCATACTTCCTATTTCCATGATTGCTGATTCAGCCAGACCACCTTGAATATCAATTTTTAAAACTCCTCTAGAAGTACATGTGGTAGGTGCAAGGTACCTGAACATGTTTCCAGATTTACTTTGGTTGGCAAGATATTCTCCACTCTCAAAATGGTTGTAATTAAGTTTGACTTCCTGCTCCAATCTCACATAAATCAGTAGTGTTGTACCAATGGCAGCTGACAGTAAAATATTGAAGTATAACTCCACTTTCATTTTTAATAATCAGCATAAATAATGCCATCTAACAATGTGCTTGTTACACACGACATCAGATTTAAAAGGATGGTTGAGCCCTCTCCAACAGTAATAGAGGACAACACAATACCCTGGCATACGGCATAAACATGTCAGTGTTGTGAACCTGACAAAGGGCAATTTAAGATGTTCCAGGAAAAAAAAATAGTGTCAGCCCATGAGCTGAGTACTTCTGAACCCACTGGTAAATACAATCCACTTGAGCCAAAATCTTTCATAATCAGTTTAATAAATGCATTTCCATTTAATTGCTACAGTCAAAGAGTTCAAAAGTATGTTAACATGCCAAATGCACATGAACCAAAGAAGGCATACTTTCCATCTAGCTCCAACAGGATAAAAGTAGAAGAGATCAGAGCCTCAATTCTTCGCATCCTCCGAGTTACCGAGTGTAGTAATATCATTGGAAACTGTAATATGTCTACCAATAACCATCCCTGTATAGAACCTACACATAGCCATTTTCATTCTTTGGATAACAATAACAAACCTGACTGCTACAAAGTTACGTATGGATTAACAATTTGCATAATATAAAGCAAACATCTTGGTAGAACACTAATTATTGGTTAAAATATGCATGACTTTTAATTATACTGCTTCTTAGAGGCTGAAATGCTTCTTTATTGAGTTAAACTGTTAAGATGTACAGCAAGGGCAATTTTCAAATGACTGTCTGTGGTAATCTGGAATTAAAATTGCATGCAAGGGGACTCTGTGACTGGTCTCAAGTCTCGCTTCTAACTGATCAGATTTAAAATTCAAAACAACTAAGATTTGGTCAGTCTCACTTCCTTGAAGTACAGACCATTTTCAGTTGTCCACCTTTGAACTGCATTGGCTCTAATGACTTTTAGCCTGTTTGACTTCCATGGTTACCTTGGTTATAATTTAAGACAACCAATTGAAAAGAGCCTTGTCTAAATTTAACAGGAGGGGGATGTCACCTTGAATTAACATCAATTAACTATAGTGTAAAAGAAATGAAAATGCCATAATTCAGAGATGCTTACTCATCTTGTTTGACTAAACACAAAAATCCTACTCAACATTCCTACCAACATCCATGAAAGACAATTTACCAGAGCTTGATATCTATAGTCAGAAGGATGCATTTGACACAAGTTTAAAGTGCTTTATGAGGATGTCAAAGCTACAGTGCACTCAGATTAGTCTGCAGTAAGTGCACTCTTAACACTTTAAAAGACAGACCACTCTTCTAACTACAGTGTTGACCACTACTAGTAAGCACGATTAAGAGCATAACCTAGTCTAGGAGTCCTCAGCCTATTACCTCACATGAATTACAAAGGCCAAAAAAAGATACGAAGATCTGTAAGAACCACTTAACTGCAGCTTAACAATTTGGAGAAGGCATCTTCCAAGCTGTGAGCCTCGTAGATATTTCCAAGCCTGCACTTCAAGACCAGGCAGAATAAAAGGTGATGAGACAAAAAAGATTTATGAAAAGTTATTGGTAATAATAATGCAACTTGGCAAGAGTTCTTTATGATAAGGTCTTGATCCAAATGAATAAGAACTGCAGATAATTTGATGAGTTCATTAACACATAAACTTGATTCCAGTTGAGATAACAAGGTGACAACAAGCTTTTGGGCTTTTTGAGTTCCAGGAGAGAGTTCACAATTAAACAAATCTAAGGAAGCCAGTCCTCCAATAATGAAGCAGCATTTAATATACACGAGTGATGAAAAAAAACTTTAGAGTCATGCACAAACTTATTTTCAGCCACTGCCACGGATAACAAGAATAACCAGATGATCTTCTTTTGATGGTTCAGGTGACAAGTGTGGAGCTATACGCACCAGATGCTCATGTGAAAACTGACATGGAGGAAATGCATGTAAAACACCTACATCATCCTTTGTTGTTGCTGGATTTCCAGGAGTCACAGGAAGGTTTACAACTGCAGCTGCTTGTTTCTGCTTGAGATAGGTCATGAGATTCCTCAATGGTCTTTGTTGCAAAGCTTCATCAGAATCTGGGTCATCCGGAAGTGGTGTTTGGACACCAGGTAAAGCAAGTAACAAGCAATGCCCGCTAGCTCCCGCAGTATTAATCCTTCGGGTAACTTCCTCCAGTTTAGGTTGGTCCAAACGAAGACGTTGAGTAATACGCAAAATTGAATTCTGTGAGGAACCAGAACCATCAGAGCGAAGCAATGAGTCAGCAACTTCAGGATTTCCACCAATGAAATGCATGCGAACAGGAAATGCACTATTTTTAAGGATGAGTCCACCACGCCAAGCAACAGCAAATCTTTTCACAAGATCTTGTAAGGTTTCTGTTCCAGTAGAGCTGGCATTCTCATTTCCCTGTTCAGCTGATTCCTTTGGCTGCACGTCTTTCAGAGAATCTTCTTTATCGCTGGGAGTTTTGTTGTCATTAGGATCATTGCTACTGCTCCTTTTGTGCTCAGTACCATTGCCAGAATTTAGAATGACTGAACGACTGAAGCGTGTGTCTAAAGAACTTGATCGACGATGGGAGTCTGAAGGTGATGTTGTACGAGAGTGGTTTGCGTGGTTTGGAGAGGGAGACCTAGTTCTTGGGCTTTTACGACGTTTTGGGGGACTTCCATTGTCCCTGTATTCTTTGCTCCGCAGAGGTGAAGGTGGTCTACGTTTTCTAGTCCTGCTGATGTCAATCTCTCGCTGAGGCAATGGTGAATGGTCATTGGGTGGAAAATCATCCATTGGAGGAGGTCGCTGTCTGAAGCGTTGCTGCCCTCTAGAATTCCGGTCCTGAGACCTCTTGTCCCAATTATCTGAGTCATCAACACAAACGTTTTGCTCGTCTCGTGGCCAGCTGCTTGAGCTAAAAGATCTCTGGGGAGGAAGATCATGTTGACGTCCAATATCGTGTTTAAACGAATTACCCTCTTCACGCCAGTTTCTGTAATCACTTTCATTTGAAGGAAGAGGTTCCCGACCGCGGTAAGGCGATGGCTCTCGCTTACGATCGTATACTCGGTCACTTTCGTAGGTCCTATTTCCCTGATCCAGAGCAAACAAGTCCTCATCAACTCTGTTGTCGACATTATTGATACGATTTCTCGGTGGAGTTAGTGGTTGTCTTAAACGCGGGTCTTGTAAATGGTCTTTATCGGCAAAATCAATTTTCAAACGACGATCACGGCCGCCGAGTGGAAATCCACGCATTTCACGTGCAGCGACTGACGCAGCATCCAAACTGTCGTACAAAATATAAGCATGATCGTCACCTTTTTCGTAGTCAGTCTGTCTGATGGCACCAAACCGATCAAATTCTCGTTCCAGCTCGACAATCGAGGTCCACGGCCCTAAACCACCCACCCATAAACGGGTAGTTTGTTGACTTTTTCCGTAGCCAATTTTCACGCGGTTACGACCGATGATTTCACCTTGCATATCCACACGCGCTTTAGCAGCAACATCAAGATCTGCAAATTTCACAAAAGCATAGGTGTTACCTTGTCCACGAGCTGGCCGTTTGATATCAACATCTAAAACAGCTCCAAATCTCTCAAAGGAACGACGCAATTCCTGACTAGAAATGCCCGTTTCCAAGTTTCCGACGAACAGCGTCCTCGTAGCTTTTGGGTCATCTTCAGGGGGAATGTACTCTGCGGGCCGAATTTGATTTTGCTGTCCAAACATGCCTGTACTTTTAAAATTCTTTCGATCGTTGTCATTACGATTTCGATCGAGATCAAACTGTGGATTATTTCGTTGAGTTCGACGTGTGGGAGAAGGCGGTCGATTGTAGTTCTGCGGGTACTCGTTCGGACTATAACTTCGTCGAGACGTCCTTTCGGAAAAATCGTAATCTACAAGAACCGGCCGATCGAACAGAAGAAGACGTCCACGGCGTTCAATAGCACGCCTTGCCTCACGAGCATCGTCAATGTTTCGGAAGTATACAATTCCATAACGGTCATCATCCCGTCCAGACAAGTGCACGGTTATCTCGGCGCCTCCGAACTTTTTAAACTCATGGAATATTTCTTCTTTCACTGACTGGTCTCCAACATTACTGGGAAGATTCGAGAGCCGGATGTGGGGTTCAGACTCTCGGTCTGTCCTCTTTCGCTGGTTTTGGTAGTTATTTTCGTTCCGCATATTTACATTTGAGCTACGCTTATACGTCCTAACATCGATCTTCCTTGTCAATGAAGAACTTCGGCGGATCGGGGAACCACTATCCCGCGCGCTTTCCGGCGAAGATAGTCTATCGCGAACCCCATTATCGTCGAATTCCCTCTGAGAACGAATCCGTTTTGGCTTCGTAAGCGTCTCTGAATCAGAAGACCTCTTCATGACCATTATTTGTCCGCTTGCTACCGAAAAGTGTAAAACGGTCCTTAAGGCAATACAAGATGGCGGTCAGGAAAATTCAGCCAGTGTAGCTAGCGCTGTGACGTACACGTGGGGTCCAAATGTGTTTTGTACTGAGAAATCGCATTATGATCAACATTCAACTACCGCCGATTGTCAAACTGTGCATTAACACGAAAACACGGCGGTCGTTACATCAAGTCTTAAGAGTGAGATGAGGTCTTAGTAAAGGTTTGTCGGCCTCAATACTATAGAAACTTAGAGACTTAAGCGACGATCAGTTATGTACGTAAATGAACAGAGTTAATTTATTGAATCGTTCGTGAGCGAACTGATTGGCCACCATATTCTTATGACGTTACTCCTGCACCAATGGCATTTGAGCATTTGATCACAAAAGCCTGAGGAAAACAAATCCAGATGGCCGATGGCACTTTTACTTTCTACTACAAGGGAAACTTGGATAACTCGATTGAAACTGAAAGTTTCACCCTAAGAAGAGAAAAGGGAAAAGAAATTCCTTTCTAGAGGTTTAACCAGCAGATCATAATGCAGTTTTGATTATCGAAGCAACACACGCTTAAATAAAAGCATTAATATATATTACAGCTGCACAAGAACACTTGTTATGTAAATTTATCTGAAATTATTAAAACTTGTCTGAGTGAGCACGAACATCAGAACAGTGGGTGTGAACATTAGTGATAAAAAGAATATCTTTAACCTAAATTATGAGTTTGATTCCATTGTTCTTTTGTGACCCCTACGGTACTTGTACCTGAGATTTATTTTAATCGATTAAATTTTAATAACCTCGTCAGTACACTTTGCTTCTCGCCTGGACATTTATTTTGAGCTTTAATGCGGAATATTCAATTCTATAATTCCAGGAGGAACGTGTAATGTTTTACGTCTAATTACAAGGGGTAAAATTTTGTATAAACTAACATTTTACCTGATCAGATAAAAGATGAAATGTTCTTATTAAATTTTCATCTTTTCCGAATGTTTCTCCTTTTCCTTTTCAGGCCAATCTCAAATCTTTGTGCTTGCAATTCGTTTAAGGGTGAAGCAAACTGCGTAACGAATGCAGTCGTGGGTTTTAGTTTCATTTAGAAATATGTCATTTTGTTTTTAGCTATGGCTTATTTAGAGCTGGATGTGGTTTCACATTAATTCCAGTGTGTATCATTTTTTCATTGGGTGCGAAAGAGAGTTTTGTACCACGGAATCGAAACAAAAACAGTCGTTCTGACGGAGGGCTAACGTTCGAAACGTCAGCTTTGAAACTCATTAGGGTGGCCAATTTACAATATCAACCCAGGTGATAAAACTAAAATTGTCATAGTCGTATCACTTTGTTTGCGGAAAAATGAACTACATGTATATGCTCCAGAAACCAAAACACATCGCTCGTCAGAACTCGCTGACATAAGTTCTGTAGTTAATCATAACTGTCAGGCCAGACCAGACTCGTTTGTTGTTAACACCTCGGCTCAAACGATTCTTCTCCTGCGGAAAAGTATGGAGCCTTGAGCCACGCGAAAAGGAGAGATATCTACCTGCATGGCCCCGGTTGTTCGAAGTCTGATTAGCGCTAACCCAAGGGTTAAATTTTGATCTGGGTTTCTTTACTACCTTGTTCAAAAACCTCTTTCGGACAATTTCCTCTATTCTCTTTAGGGCATCCAATCATCAAATTATAGACAAAAGAAATGGTACGGAATTTTCTTTCAAAGCCTTTCAAATTTGCCAACCAGATTTCACAGTAACCCTGGGTTATCTTATCCCAGCTTTGAACTACCCGGCCCTGGGGCCCGTTTCTCGAAAGTCCCCTTAATCTAACGGGTCCGTAAAGCTGTTCTGTTTTCATTCAAGATGAGGATTTCAAAAGTTTTGAAAATGATGCAATAAAACTATCAGCTAAAGAAGCAAAAAGGACTGGTTTGGGCGCCAGAACCCGCTTTCCTATCCTTTAAATTTTGATTTTAAAACATCGCTTCGGACCCGTTAAGTTATCGGGACTTTCGAGGAACGGGCCCCTGGGGTCTAATACTGATAACTGCCAGCCCGCCTGCAAAACTCACTGCAACTCGGTTCAATCTGACCAAAAAATGATCATCCCTGAGGCGGAGAAACGCGCGTCTCTCAGCACTAGTAATGACTGCACATGTTCGCAGGCAAAGATCGGTCAAATCCTTAAATGATGAACAACAAGAAAAAAAAAAAGGGCTCTGATACTTTGAAAAACTTAAGTCCTCCGTAAGGATTTGAACCTCATCGGGCGGTTCCATTTCTGTTCTTGAATGCTCTATCAACATAGGACAAGTTAGTTTATAGGGCGAAAATTTGGGTCAAGTTACAACCCCTCCTCCTCCCCCCTGAGGACCCTGCGGTTAATATCGCCGAAGCGCCAAAAAGCCGGCACGGAAAGAACAGCCGGTTCAGACCGTTGATCTTTGTAAGCTCTTGTTGGGACCACTAATTACTAATGTAATAATTCGATTGCGAACATACTTGATATTATTAACACTGCTTAAAGGTAGAGGTTTCGTTGCACCGACGAACTATCTAAAGGACACTGAAATTTGAGTGGGGCCATATACTTGGCTTGGTGTCCATGATGAGCTCTCACTTCCCCTCCCCCCTCTCCACCCCTTCTGGCCACTTCCTGCCGATTCTGTCATTTTGCTGATGTGCTCCAGACACTGTTAGCATAAGCAGTGTCGAGAGGAGATAGAGAAAGAAAAGCGAAAAGATAGAGAAAGAAAGATGAAAAATTTCGAGATCGGCCGTCGGATAAAATGAAACGTTTGTAAACATTTAACCTTTCTGGTGGAATTTTATAGATGTTTGTAATCCCTTAAAAAAGATAAGCTCATTTAAAATCAAGTAATTTTGGTTTTTCTCAATTAACTGAGATAAGGGGCCACCATAAAGAGTTCCAAAACGTCTGCTTTTTAACTCTTTACGATGGCCAATTTACATTATCAACTCAGTCGATAAAACCAAAAATACCTTGCTTTACTTACCCACCGACGTATCACTATAGTTTCTATTATTCCTTTAAAAATCAAATGATTTGGTCGGTCGAGAGATAACGCAAATAATTGCTAATAAAACGATTTGAACTTCATCACTCCAATACATCACCTTATCACTTACACCAGCTTCGCATCCGGAATATGCATATTCTTCATATTATTATCTAAAACAGTAATGGGTTTAAAAACTAACGTTTCGAGCCTCAGCCCTTCGTCAGAGCGAACGGCGAATGGCCATTCGCTCTGACGATGGGTTTACGCTCGAAACGTCAGCTTTTAAACCCATTATGGTGGCCAATTTACGTTATCAACTAATTTGATAAAACTAAATTACCTTGTTACCCCCACCGACGCAGCATCACAGTTTCTTTAGAAACTTACCCCCTTTATCATATAAAATATATCCTCTTTTATTACCCAACTGTGCTTCGTAGAGTACAAATAACGCCCAAAACGAGTACAAATATCTCGCGGTATTTGTATTCCAGAGAACCGTAAAGACGGTAAATAAATATCCGCGAAATTCGCCCACACTGAAATAGCAATTTGCCGTGTTGGATAATAAGTCTCTTGGTAAACATTTTGTTGTAGTATCGCTGAGTATTTTTACTCGTTGCTTGTATTTTGACTCGCCTTACGGGCTCGTCAAAATATTGCACAACTCGTAGAAAACACTCAGGTATACTACACAACAAAACGCTTAATAAGGGGTGGGTACGTTTCGCTGACCCCCAGTCCATGGACAACCCTCGATGGACTACCCATATGGACTACCTAAATGGACTACCCATATGGACTACCCTAAATTACCTACCTTCACGCGAGCGAATCGAGCGAAAAGAGGGACTT